CATGGTGCTCTGGAGAAGTCATGGCATGCAAGCGAAGCATGATGGGAGCACACATGCCGCATGTGGAAGAGCATCTACACTCACTTGGTTGGAGAGTTCGCTCGTGACTCATCCAACGGACCTCTTCAACTCCGACACGACAGTCTTGTAGTAACCAGGTTGGCAGTCTGGCGAACCGTATGTCTAGCGACGGTAACGACTGATGATAATACAGCATTAAGCAGCCTGCTACGGCTGCGCTGGCATTGGATCAGCCGCCTTGGCCGTTGGGAGGAGTACGCCCCCAGGAGCTCTCGGCATTGCCCCGGTAGGAGCTGAACAGAAGCGGGCTCGCCATGTTTGCTCCATTTGCGTATCCATACTGGTGGTTGTTGTTCAAGTCGCTGCCATATGGCGATCCCCAGTTCGAGGGGCTGCTGACGTGATTTCCCCATGCAGCGCCACTGCCAATACCACTGGGAGCTCTAGTAGCAGTAGGAGTACCAGCCTCGACACTCAGAAGCGAGTTCGCTGAATCCCCTCGCACATGACCAGACATCCGGGGTTTATCATTCATTGAAGGTCGACGGAGATCGTTGCCAAGTCCGTTGGTGTTTAGCATAGAGGGAGAAGCCGGACCGGGCGTGCGATTCCAGATGGAGTTGGAGTTCCACTGACCATCTGGCACAGAAGGTAGGTTCGGTGGCTGACGGATGGAAGACGTGGAACCCGACCTACCCATCGGCGTGGAGAGCATTGCAGGCATGGGAGCAGGAGACAAGGGCTTGTAGTTCCTAACCGAGTTGACCAAGTCGTTGATCGACAATGCTCCCGGCACAAACGTATTGTCGTTGACAACGGCCGTGTCGTCGAATGTCTGCTCCGGTGGCGTAGGTGGGATATTCTCGTCTTCTTCAACTAAAGGGTCCAGTCCGGTCTCGTCGCCTACTAGGTCGTCCACCATGTTGCGCATCGCATTGTCCTTAGCAAGCGTAGTGGATGCAGATTCTGAAGCTGCCGCAACGGAGTGTGACTTCTGGTCGTCTGGAATAGGCGCCTCTGTGTGCTTGAACAGAGGTATATCGGTGGCCTGGACTGAAAGAACAGGAGATCCATCAGGCCGGGTCGTTGGGCTCGCCAGAAGCTCAGATGGTAATCCTTCTTCTCGGTAGATAAACCGCGGGCCCGCCAAGTCCAGTGGTGCATCGTCAATCTGCGTGAGGAGCAGACCATCGATCAGCAAATCCTTCACTCGCATGAGCATCTCGACGTTGGGGTGGTTGCGCTCCAGCTCAGTCCACTTCTGCTTCATTACATCCCCCTTATACCAGAGCTTCATGGTATCCGGGGAAATGAGCGGCTCAAAACCAATCGTATCCGTATCCTCCTCCAACATGTAGTCTTCTTGGGGGAGTTGGTCGACGGGAAAGCTCGAGGCCAAAAGAGACAAGGTAGCAGCGTAGGCTTTCCAGAGCTCTTGGACGTCGACAGGATTCAAGGTATCGGCGATGTTGGCGTTGAGTACCTTCCAGTAGCGCGTGAACCAGGTGCTGTATAGACGAAGTCCTGGGAGAATGCGGCGTGCCACAGCTGTAATCTTGTCGGATAGATGGGCCGCGCGGTCGCCGTTCTGGTGCTTTACATCGTTGCCCTCGGAAAGGCGGTCCAACTCCGGCTGCAGGACTTGTAGTAGGATGAAGAAAGTCTTGACGTTTAGACGAAGGTAGTAGAAATAGGTGCGCATGATGTTCGGGGGTGGGTTCTCGCCTGTTATGGTTAGCGAAGTTGGCTTGTGAAAAGTGGACAACTTACTCTGCAACTGCACCGTCGCAAAGTATTCCGCTGACATGTTAATGAGGATGATCTTAGTCAAGATGGAGTCCAACGGGCGCTCTTTGAGCTCGATAGCCAAGTGGCTGAGCACCTCGCCTTCCAACTCATCATGCGCCGCGAATTCCTCGCCCTTGTAGAGCTTGCTGTGCAGTCTGATGAACCAAGCAATCAAAGCCCGACCGGTGTTACCGTCGGCTGACTTGTGGTTGTTGATGAGCTGCCCATTGTCCCATGCAGTTATGACGCGCTTGAACTCGGTCGCGAGGTTGGCCTTGGCCGACGGGTACGGCTCTTTGCTTGCTAGCGAGCGGTAGAGGTGGTATACGCAGCGGAAGTGGTCGCCGTCCTCGCGGGCGATTACTGCGAGTTGATTCGGCGCATGTCCGGAATCTGGGTATATCTCTGCGGCCAGGTCGTAGTAACCTTTGGCTGGGCCCCAATTGCGGTCCTTGTTCTTCTCGACGAGTTCGGTCTCGCGGTAGCGGGAAAGGTCGCCGAGTTGGATGAGCGTCTGGTGGCAAGAGACGAGGACCTGCGTTTTCAGGTTCGCGGCGATGCGCTGGCGCGGGGAGGACTTGGAGGCTGCTCTCTTATCAGCAAAGTCGCGGGGCGCACACCGGGCGTGCTTACTATCATCCTTCCATTTCTGGGCAATTTTGCGCAGCTCTGGGATGCCGTCGAACTGAGTGTCGAGGTTCAGTATGTATTGGCGGTAGAAGCGCTGGCTGGCCTTGATAAACTGCAGATAGGTCTTTTGGAACTTGCGGATCTCGACAACATGGTCCTTGGATCGCTTGAGCTGCCGGGTGTTAGCGATGCTTCTCGTGCTTTCTCGCGTGGTGACGCACCAGCTTGTGTTCCTGCCTGAATTTGGTGTTGACCTTCAGATGCGCATTCCACAGCGTCGTCTGGAGTTCGCGGGCGGATGCGTATTCGAAGTTGGAGAAGATAAGGGCCTCGCAGGCGGCGCGGTACCTGTCGGGCATTAGTTGTCGCCGGTATGAAGTGGTAACGATGCCTACTCTTGCAGCACCGCAGCTAACTCGGCGCACGGAGAGCCGCCATCAGCGCGCTTATACAGGTCCTTCTCGATCGCCTTCGCCCGTCTATACTTTTATTAGCACCCGGCCGACATCACGGGAATGACGCAATGACGCACCTGTCGAGTTGTTCGGTGTTGGCGGCCATGCCTTCTATGTGCAGGAGCCGGCGACGTTCATATGTGACCCCACGGTCGGCGGGCAGGTCAGACGAAGGCACGGAGCAGGCGGCGGACGTTGTGGCTGGCGTGCTCCATTTATGGTGAGGGGGTATGCCCTGCGTAAAGGACAGAAGCGAGCGGGAGGGTCTCGGAGGCAAACAGCGCCCAAGACGCGGAGCTATGGCGTCAGAGTCGGAGGCGATGGCCGTGGTGAGAGGTGTGAGAAAGTGAGGTTGGTGGATGAGTCGCGAGAACTAGCGGGCGCAGCAGTCTCGGAGCTAAGGTACCACGTCCCGGCCTGGCTGGCTACCAACCCTCTCTCTTTCACCGCACAGCCAACACCCAAGTGAAACAGCCCTGCGAGACGGCACTCTCCCCGGTAAAAGGTACTGCCCCTTTCATCTACGCCTCGTCACAGTCACAATCAGCCCCAATCAACATACAATGGGGATCAAGCGCTCACACCGCGATTCCTCGTCATCAGACAGCACACCCTACTCGCGTGAGACATCGGCCGACGTCAAGATTGTCCACTTAGATACCGAATCTGCCGTCTCTGACGACCCCATCATCATGAAGTGCTCACTGCCCCCGCACGAACCGCTTGCGTTCAATTCCATTGAAGACCACGATGTGCACTACCAGCAAGTTCACATGAACCGATGCAGCGAATGCCACAAGAACTTTCCGGATCAGCACTTTCTACATCTGCATATTGCAGAATATCACGATCCTATCAATGCTGCCAAGCGAGACCAGGGAGAGAAAACGGTAGGTCATTTCCTTACTTTGTTTGTCACGTGTTTGCTCCTACCCTTTCCGGATCTGCCCAGTGGTTCCTTCCTCTTGACAAGATCGCCCATCCATTTGGAGTAAGACTGGTGAGGTATGCGGAGTACGAGCGCCTTCAAAAGGGCACTGTAGCTGATAGCTCGCAGTATGCATGTCTCTTACCTGACTGCGATCGCATGTGCAGCACGCCACAGAAGCGCCGCCTCCACTGCATTGATAAGCACCAGTTCCCTCGCGAGTACGACTTCATCGTTGTGAAAGACGGTATCGATCGCCGAAGCAGCATGCTAATACCCTCTCACCGACGAAGAAGCTCGACTATGAGTTCGGCGAATGGCGCTGCTGGCTCTCCAAGGAGGCGGAGAGGTGAGTCCAGCGCAAGCACTGGTGAAACTATGGAGATGGATCACGAAGAAGCTCAGGAAGAAGGAGAAACGCGTCGCTACCCCACCAGACTTCGCGGGCGTGGAGGATTCGGAGGCCGCGGGCTCACACGAGAAGACGCAGCAGGTATCACTGCCCCAAAGACAGCCACTACTGATCAGTCGACCGATTCCATGGACAGTCTGGCTTCTAGCATGTCTGCACTGAAGTTTGTTCCTCACAGTGTCCGGGTAGCGCGTACAAAGGGTAGAGGAGGAGGTGCCTGAAGATACAGCCATCTAAGGAAAGAGAAGAGTTCGGCTGATACTTTTGCCTTTCTTCTACAATTCTGTGATCGTTCTTTCTGTTGTATTTCTCGTCAAGTCATGTTGCCTTGCGTTCCTTCCATAAATGCCGGTTGCCACGTGGTAGTGGTTACAACAACATCTCACTTGGCGCCATCCTCATTACAACACCACTGATCTTCCTCGGCGATCCTGTATTGCTATCGATCGAGATAGCAAGGTATGTATACGACTTTAAGAGAATCAAACTACAGGCTAACATCGCCGCTGGCCGGGTCTCCTTCTTCCGTAATGCACCTGTGGACACAGCAATGGTGTACATTGTCTGGTTGCACTGCGCATTGCGAATCCTCCTACTCTTTTTCGATCGTCTGAAGTCACTCGGGCTTGTAATAGTGGAGCTTGCAGCCGTCTGTTGCCATGTTTTCCTGATACGCGTGATCCTCACCCGACCACAACAACCGCCCCACCACCGCTTGCGCGCAATCGCTATATGCGTCCGAACTCTGTCCAGACTCATAACCATTATGAAGCCGTTGACTGTCGCTCGCTACGCAATCGCAAACGAATACCTGCGCCGAAGGAAACAGCGATTTTGTGACGCTGCCAATCGCACTCCCCCGGAGCACCAAGTCGAACTCTCAAGCACCGCCATTGAACAAACGCCAGACAAGCAAACAACGGATGCGCAAGCTCAGCCAGCGTTGGATCATGTACAATCCCTCGTCACATCGACAGCGAACGAGAGATGCGACACAGTCGCAGTCGGCGTCAGGACCATCGCTTTGGATAAGATTAGTACAGCATCTAGTAAGTCCCGGTCGGATGCAGAGTGGATGCAAGGTCTATTATACAAAAGCTTACACGGAATTTTGATAGGACATCTCCGCAAGCCGGGCGTTTGGAGGCCAATGTCAACGAGCGAACGCACTGGCAGTACCGTTCTGGCAGCTTTGCAACCCAACGCAGACAGAGGCGCGGTGGCTACAGGAGCAAACGCTGCAAAAAACCCATGTGCTGGCGGATTCGGCTTGCCTGCACGCGACACTGTCACAAAGGCGTGGAAAGGGACGACCGACCACGAGTACCAGATTTTCACCACCTTCTGCTTCCCTGCCATGGGTGCATCCGCCCCACGATCTCTTCCTCCGACGCCGCACCCTGAAGACGCCAGTGACACAGCATCCCCGACCTCAGATACAACCTTATTCGAAGACGCGCCTGTATGCACACCCAGCCAGCTAGGATGCGATGAAGACATCGGTGCGTACATAGCTTGTAACGACGCACCGATGGAAGGAGTGTCAATCACCTGGACTCCCCAATTGGCAGAGCACGAAATCGATCCTGTCGCTAAACGCCCTGTTCGGCATCGTCGATACGTCTCTTCTCAATCAAGCTTCGGCGTTACTGAAACGCCTCAAATCCCGCTTCGGTCAAGATCAAGAACGAATGATGGACTGCTGTTGTTTAGGGCAAATTCTTCCAAAGAAACCACAGATGACCCTAAAATAAGACACCGTCGGAAGGTCTCTCTGAACCTCCCAGTCAATACACACGCAAGCCAGGCCAGCGCCACTCAGCCATTTGGAAAGTCCGGTGTCGAAAGTTGTACAAAGCGAACATCTGGCATGGAGACCGCTTACTATACCACCAGCGTAGACGCATTGACTCCAGAAGAACGGGATCTAGAGTACAAGCACCGGCATACATTCATAGGAACTGGCTCGCTAGACGACTTCCTAGAAACACTGGAAACTACACCAAACCATACCGCTACCAAAGATGCGATTACTCGGGCATTCGTACAATTGGCAGCATCAGAGCAGCTCTACGCTCGACAATGTTCTGCTGGTCAGGGGTGGGATCTAGTTATGCGAACAACACTGAGCCTCATGGACGTTACTAGCGTCGATTACATTGTCCAGTCGCAAGTCAAGCTGGGCTCCATTACGCTTCGGCAATTCCTGGATTTGATGCCTTTCGATGAAGTCGATGAGGTGGCGGCACTACGTATCATAGAAGCGTTCTCTATTGCTAGCCATCTGGATGCGACGGCATGTATAGGCGCACGGAGTAAGGCACGAGCTTTCCGGAAGTGGATGGTCGACCAAAAGAGTGTGGACGCAGATTGTTGAGGATAATAGCGATGAAGTACGCGCGCTTCCCCCTACTATACTCAGTCAATTTTCCTAGCATCAATACCCCAATGTCACCGACGTATCTTCCTATGTACGCTCCTGTACTATTGCTTCTCGGAGAGTTTACGATCTGAACAGTGAAGCAGACACAGTTCCTTGTTTCATTGAGCATCTCTCCTTCCCATCTAGGCAGTATCTCAGGGCACGTGTCTTCCCTACACCCACCTCGGCCTTGACGCCCACGCTGCTTGGCCTTCTTTTCGATATCGTCTCTCGACCTTCTTCCCTGAGTTGATCTTACGCCTTCCTTGCACTCTCAAAACGCCACTAAGCTCGCTCTTGCCCACTCATTCCAGAACCTCGCGGCTTTCCCCATCGCGTTAAGGCAGGTCTCCCTCCAGTCCGAACTTTCACTGAAGGTCCGTGCTCCGCCTTACTACCCCCACTCGATACCGTCTCCAGCCGCTTGCACTACACTCTCTACTCACACGCAATACACCGGAGGCAATCGATCCGTTCGCCACATAATTGATACATACTCACGCGAATCATCGACAGCTACTACGATGTCGAGCCGCCCACTACCGCCGTCCAGCGTTTTGCTAGGAGAAGTCAAGGCCACTGTCTTGCGTAAGTACAAGAAGAGCGCGTCCGTCTTTCTAGAGGACGCCGCTCTTGATATGATGCTTACCGAACTTCCCGGTGACATCCAGCGCTACGCCGGATTCTACAACATCTACCTCTTCCTCGACCCCTCTCACTGCCAAGAGTCAAATCGACCGTTTGCAAATCCCCTTCTTGCCCAGGATTCGACAACTCGTTTTATTTGGAATAAGAAGGAGTATGACTGCGCCGATTACCTCGTAGACGATGACGATGATCACCCTGAATTGATTGAGGCAGCAGCAATTCGACCTATTGAAGGGTCCATCGGCGCACCCATCACCAGCATCATAGACAAGGTAGCCGAGGCCTCGAACAAGATGCAGAAGAAGACGTCTGCCTTCCAACCTGGAGAAAACATCAAGACGCGGCTTCGACGCGCACACAATGAGCGCAAAGAGGCAAGGAAGTTGGACGGCTGGCTGGAGCTGAAGGCTACAGTAGAGGCCGCTGCGACACAGAAAATACCTGCTCACGTTTCCACTACACAATGGCACTTCTGGAACGCCGTTTTCTTGGACGTTCTCCCGTCGTTACCAGCATCCGAGCGCGCCGCTCGTCTCCTGGCTCTTGAGAGTCGTGACATCACCGATGAACAGCCCAAGCCATGGTCTGATATCTGGCAGACATACCAGTACGTTCAACTTATGGACGAGATTGAAACAACTGGGTGGGACGAGACCCTGCGCGAACTGTCCGAGAACTACCAAGACTTCTCAGAGAAATTGCTAGATCTCGACTTCGCCACGCGTATGGCTCTAGGTCTGCCGGTCGCACTGCCGCCAGTCCGCGAGGAGAACACGTCGGTGCTTGCCGAGCCCATTGCTTCCAAGCCATCGGTTCTTGACACCCCGGTAATCGACACTGGCGCTCGTCGTCCGAAACTCCTCCCAAAGTCTCAGGCTACGCGGAAGAATTCCGGGTTGGCTTGCTTGGCTGAGAAGGCTACTATAGCTCCTGAGGTCGCTGCACCGCCGGCTCTTATTCCAGCGCAGGCTAGTACCAACATCTTTGGGCTTCCTACCATAGTACCGCAAAAGCCCCCTCCATCATCCAGCGGCTTTACGTTCACTACTCCGGCTTCGAAGACCGCCCCTATGTCTGTACTGCTACAGTCTCCTCCAGCTACGCAGTTCCCTGACACACCTAGCTTTGACTTCGGCTTCGCTAAGAGTACATTCGACGCACCAATCTCTGTCTACGTACCGAAACTCGATGAACACACTGTTTCCGGGACGTGCATGGCCACTCAAACGCCTGAACTGCCCAAATTGTCCTGGACCGAACACAAACGAAAGCACGCAGTACTGACTGGCAAAGATACAAAGTCTATCTCGACTACTTTTGGTGCTTCGGCTGTTGGCTACGATCATTCCTCATCAGAGACACCCCTCGTCCTCACTCAACATGCTGAGCAACCTCCTAAGTCTGATCTTGGAGGCTCTATAGAGGTAGAGGGGGCTAAGTGGGAGACCCAATCAGCTGTCGAAGCGGAGTCAAAAGACCAAAAATACTCTACTCTGTTTACCAAGGTCATTGATGAGCTTATCATTGCTGAGCTTATTGAGGAGTTCCGAAACAAGGCTTCAAATGCCGGTGGAGGGGCGACACTCAGCGACACTACTTCCAGGGAAGAAAAGGAGCCTTCCCGTTTAGACGATGAGCAACTCAATCAAGGTGACCAAACCGCCGGCCTCCCAAGAAAGGAAGATGATACTCAGTTCCCAACCTACACCTTTCGAGATTTTGCGAAAAAATACGTCCTCGCACGAAGTCCGGATCTCTCCATCGACGACATATTCACTAAACTTACCAAGTCCTCGAATGGACGCCTCTACGATGTCGACTGTGTGCTTCTTAACGTTGACGAGAACGACGAGAGCAAGCCTGCAACGTTTGAGGAAGCAGTTAGCATGCTCGAGCCGTATCTAGCAGGTCAGTGGACTCTGGATAATGCAGATGGAGATTCCGCATCCAGTGTCAGGTCGACTCCCTCGTTGACGCACTCGCTTTTCCCCGAAGCCGAGCTTGCGATCGACAGCGAGATGGCCCAAGAGTACATGCTCGATGGATACGGCTGCCCGCTTGAGCTAACAGGAATTTCTCAAGACGACAAGAAGTTTTTCGACGCAGTACAGATGAAGATCGTCGGAGAGGCCGACCAATACGAGTTCGACTGGGCTGAGGTAGATTGCCTTCTGGGCCCTCAAGATAAGGAAGATGACGACGATGATTACGTTGTACCCACGGTCGATGATGATGGGAAACCCATCAAGCTCACACTAGACATAAACCCTCTACAAGGGGATTGGGCCGAAGACGTTTTCTCGCAGGTCTTCCCAGACTTCGAGCAGACTGAGGCTAAGCTTCCGGATGTCGCGCCGCAACTTAGGGTGGAAGTTGATCAGACGTCCTTCTCAGCCATGTTCGACTCCGGATATATGTCGGAATCGCTCGGTATCCCGGGGAACACTTCGTTCGAGTCAGCAAAATTGCCAGCAATGCAACTAGTTGACACTTTGATGCCCAATACCAAGTCTATCCTCGCCGACTACGATACGGTCCTACACGAGCTGTATCCACAGGCTGCAGCAGTTGGCACTGATGCGGAAAATAAGAAGGTCGACTACCGTCTACTTAGTCCCGCCGTACAAGAGGTGGCGTTCAAAGCTCTGCCCACCACGAACCCAGGATCACATGATGGTATCAGAACTGGCAGATCTGCTCATGGGAACTTGACCACGGCTCAGCCGCTGACGTTCAACCGGCATCACCCAGTCTATGACCTCCCGCGCTCTGACCTAGCGGTATATAACTGGCTCAAGTCTCAACGACAAAGCAGCCTGGCAAACATCAGCACGAACGAGCTGGGCAAGCCCGCATCGTTTGACGTGATCAAACTTTGACGGTGTTCCCGCAATCAAGGAGCGAGAAGTGCACATGATGAGCGGGATTATGGGACAGTAACCTCGAGCTTCCAAGGAGAAGGCCTCGTGGACCCGACTGCAGAATTTAGAGAAAGTGATGAGCGTTTGGGACATGACGAGCTCCGCGAGCACCCACACCTTGGCCACTTTGAGGCGTGCAATATCCGCATCGCTCTACGCCTGAAGATGTACTCGAATAGGCTTCCATAGTCGGCTCATCGCTATATCCTTCGATATCTCGTAAAGGGTTATGGCTTCTCTTCACCAATACGACAGTGATCGTCCCGTTCCGGCCAGACATCGATATCGACAGCCGCCTCTGAGCTCAATCCAGACTGCCAAACTCGCGACGATTTGCCCGCCTTGGCCATAGAGCCAGGGTAGAGAGCAAACGCCGCTCTGTTGGATCAAAGATCCGCAGATGAGAAAACCACAGCGTCTGTCTGCGCCATAGAGCGAGCGGACACACAGCAAAATCCACTTGCCTAGCCAAAGAGCCAGGTTATGAAGAACCGCCATGCATGCCTGAGCCAGAGAGCGAAGGCAGAGAGCAAAGGTCATCCGGCGACTGAGAAACTCGACATGTTTGTCTCCACCAAAGAGTGAGCAGATACGCAACAAACTCACACTCCCGGGCCAAAGGCTCGGTTGAAGCGAATATCGATCTGTCAGCCTACACCAAAGACTGAACAGACACACAGCAAACCCCCCTTGGACCAAAAGGTCCAGGCATGAGGGAGCAAGATGCGCAGCCATTGCAATTGCGAGGAGGACTTGTCGTGCAAAGATGCGACATGGTGAAGAGGACTACGGCGGTCACAAAGTTGGCCGTGTTGTCGAGGTTTCTGCATCCACGGAGAAGGACAGCGTGGTGTTTCCAGCGACGATTCGAGGAGATTTGAGGGTTGGTATGCGCATGAACGGTCACGGCGAATTCGTGTCAATGGTGTTGGAGGTTGTTTTGAATTTCGCCGACGACATTTCGTTAGCACACGCGCGCTCAATGTGTACGCAATAAGGTACGAGGATGCAGGAAACCTAATCGGATCACGAAACACCAGATCGGTGACTGGTAGAGCGGTGTGAGATGACAGGTAATCTGATCGTTGATGAGGGCTTCCCCGCCATCCACAACGCTACTCTAGATCGCGCATGCTTCGAGCTGTTATCTCGACGATGCAAATCCTTGGTTTCGAAAGAAATGCATCTGCTCTCGTATGCGGGTATGGCCGTTTCGGATACGCGGCTACACCAAGACCCTAGCAGCACACATCCCACCCGATCATCCGGACAGCGCAACTCCAATGACGAGTGGAGAAAAGCATCTGATCTTCCCCGCATCATCCTTGACGCAGGAACCGATGCCACTGCCTTGATCCAAGTGCAGCCACCCGGACGTCGCGGAAGACTTGCTGCTGTGGTGACGGCCTAAGTCCTCGGCGCCCAAGACATTTCCAAGCGCCGCCAATGCCATCTTCAAACTTGGCGACTTGCATTACGCACACCAGCCCCTATGTACAACGACAACCGGGACCTGCGCGCAATCAATGATAGGGGAGGGCCTGAAGGGCCAGACTAGATGGCCAAGCCAATCGTGAGTTTCGTAGTCATTTTAACGAGTTTAAACGACCCAACCCTAGCCTCGTACCAACACCGAAGGATGACTACCAAGCGTTGCACTGTCGCCCAGCTACTGCTGCGGCTCAACGCCGTTACTTGGCTGACGGCCGAAGGGGTTTCATAACATCACGACTCGCCATCCTAGAATGTTCGTTCTCTCGTTTTCCCTCGCTTCCTCCACACTAACCTCAGGCTCCGCTCCACGTCGCTCGCTGTGTAGTGCCTCAGGCGCACTCGTTAATCCACGCATGCCGAATACCCAACACCTGTCTTTCGAGTGATACCCCGGGGCTTCCGCCATGAGACCTTCGAACCTTGTTTTTGCAGCAGTCGGCCTGCTTTCCACATTCGCCACTGCGCAGCTGGAGTTCAATGTTGACGATCCAGGTGCGCTCACTGCAACTGTTTTCGGACCCCACTAACATAAATAGCCTCTATTAAGGATGCGACAAAAGTTGTTGCAGCGGGCTTAAGAGAATGGTACACTGGTGACAAACCCGGTGATGTACCTGGAAACTTGCCAGACCCATACTACTGGTGGCTATGCGGAGCCATGATGAACTCGTTCATCGACTACTGGTACTACACCGGCGACGACACATACAACAAGATTGTACAGCAAGCGATGGTGCACCAAATCGGCATCCCAAGAGCCTTTATGCCAGAGAACCAGACAAAAACACTAGGAAACGACGATCAGGCTTTCTGGGGAATGGCTGCCATGTCAGCAGCGGAAAACAAGCTTCCAGATGTCGAAGGAGAAATGTCGTGGTTGTCACTCGCCATCGCCGTATTCAACACACAGGTACCGCGCTGGAATCCCGAAACATGCGGCGGTGGACTCAACTGGCAAATTTTCCGATTTAACCCCGGATTCGACTACAAGAACACAATCTCCAACGGATGCTTTTTCAACATCGCAGCAAGGCTGGCAAAATATACAGGCAACGAGACGTATGTTGAGTGGGCCGAGAAAGCATGGGATTGGCAATACAGTGTTGGTCTCATCAGCACAGATTACCACTTCTTTGGTAAGGATGCTCTTGAATATATTTCAGATGCTATACGTGCTAACAAATACCTTTCCTAGATGGTACCAGTGAGAGACAAAACTGCACGGAAAAGAACCACATCCAATGGACCTACAACGCTGGAATCCACATGGCGGGTGCCGCAGCCCTGTGGAACATGTCAGAAGCGAAGGGTGATACGGTAAGACTCCTTGAACCTGACCCAACTCCACACTCATTCTAACGCAACGAAGGAACGAGCAGGCAGATGGCGAGAGCGCCTGGGCGGCGTTATCAACGGTACCGACATCTTTTTCCAACAGCAAGGAGCCCCAGACGTCATGATCGAAATGGCCTGCGAACGCAACGGACTGTGCGACCACGATCAACGATCCTTCAAAGCCTACCTCGCCCGCTGGATGGGCTGGTCGATGCTAGCCGCTCCCTGGACGCGCGACCGCATCATGCCCAAACTCCGTGCCTCTGCCGTGGCAGCTGCGCAACAATGTGGCCCCGGAAAAGGTGGCTGTGGTCTGAGGTGGTGGCAAGGTGGAAACGACAAGGAGGTGGGCGTTGGAGAGCAAATGTCTGCATTGGAGGTCATGCAGAATTTGCTTGTTGATCAAGTTTCTGGTCCCGTCGGACTTGATAATGGTGGAATAAGTGAGAACGATCCTACTGCAGGAAGTGATGCGGGTCCTGTGCGTGTTGAGCATGACTCTATCACGACAGGGGACAAGGCCGGCGCTGCGATTCTTACTCTCATGGTGTTCGCAGTGTTCTTTGGTGGAGGCGCTTGGCTGATTATGAGCGAATAGTTTCATTTCTTAATTCAAAGCATTTTCGATTTCATTATATTGCGCGAACTGAGGCATTGATACTGACTGTGCACTCGAGGCTCTATCATCGACAAATGTCGACAAGAATGCGGGGTGGAGCGGTGCCATACTTGCCAATAACGTACACATCTGACGCGTGAAAGCAGTGTGACTCCAAACCCGCCGCACCGTATACGTGTGTATTAAGATCTGCATGCATTTGTAATGCCCCCGTTTTCCATGTGTATACACTGCAACCTATGAGAGGGCGTGGCATGACATGAGTGTGCAGATCATTCCCCGAATGAGCGAGGATAGCGACTTCCCAACTCGGAATTAGCGCGTGTATACCTAGGTAGCAGCTGCATCACCTCACGCCAGCTATCCAGCATTTGTAAGCTCTCCGGCTATACCTCCGACATCATAACGACGATATAAGGCTGCTACCAGAGCTGCCATTCTCGAACGACTATTCAGTACTTGTCTGGTCGTACAATCGCAATCGTGGACAGTAACCGATAGCAAACATGACGTCAGCTAAACCCTTCAGCACCGTACCAGCAGGCGCGCAACAGCAGCCCACACCCTTCGAGCTGCATGTTGAGGAACAGAAGTTGCAGGACTTCAAGACTCTGCTCAAGCTGAGTCCGGTCGCGAAAGAGACGTATGAGAACAAGCAGAATGCGGGCAGCCATGGCCAGTTTGGGATCAGCCGGCAGTGGATCATTGATGCGAAGAAAGAATGGATGGAGAAGTTTGATTGGTACGAAGGCTCGACAAAGAGTTGAATAGGAATGGCTGCACTGACACGTTACAGGCGCAAGGAAGAAGACCGCATCAACTCTCTGCCCAACTTCAAGGCCACCATCAATGACGATGGCGGTAGCAGCTACGACGTCCATTTCGCAGCATTGTTCTCCAACAAGCCAGACGCTATCCCAATCGCTTTCTTCCACGGATGGCCTGGCTCGTTCTTGGAGTTCCTACCCCTCATGGAAGTTTTGAGCAAGAAGTACACGCCAGATACCCTCCCTTACCACATCATCGTACCATCTCTCCCCGGCTTCGCTCTGTCCTCTGACCCGCCACTGGATCAAGACTGGAAGGTGGCGGACACATCCCGCATCATGCACAAGCTGCTTCTCTCCCTCGGTTTCGGCGCATCAGGATATCTCGTTCAGGGCGGTGATATCGGCGCCTGGATCGCGCGAGAGCTGGCATCTACGTACGTCGAGTGCAAAGGTATGCATCTCAACTTCATGCACACAGTCGACATCAAATCCTACTCTTCACCTGAAGACGAGCTCAGTGCAGCGGAGAAGAAAGGTCTTGAGAGGATGAATGAGTTCATGGAAGTAGGCAAGGCCTATGCAGTTGAACACGGCACGAAGCCTTCCACCATTGGCCTCGTACTGTCCAGTTCCCCTATGGCGCAACTGGCGTGGATCGGCGAGAAGTTTATGGCGTGGACTGATCCATCTACCACGCCTTCCGTCAACACAATCTTGTCGGATATCACGCTGTATTGGCT